ATAGCTCAGATCTGCAAATCAATCATTTTCAAACTCTTTGCCATATTTCTTTCATGAAGTGCATTTAATCTGCTGAAAATGCAGGTGTATGTTTCATTTTTTGTCTGTTTTTCCATTTATTTATTTCTCTACTCACCTATTTCTCTATTTATCTGTCTTTTCTAGTTAGTTGTCTTCCTAAGCTTTCACTGGATATACAGAACTATTTAAAGACTAAATGGAAATAATTCTCGGCCTCTTCTGCAAAATTCTCTTATGAATTCTTGTCAGATAGACAGACCTCTTTAAAGATTATAACTGTGTGGTAAAATTAAGTTAAACAGGCTTTACATTTGGCAAAATTCTCTTAAATAAGTTCTTGTCAAATCAAGCTCTTTAAAGATTTATAATTGTGTGGTAAAATTAAGCTTAGCAGTTTTAACGTTGTTCTTCAGTTTCATAGGCTTCTGTGTGAGCACGCTGGTCCAGGGCTGATGAAGCGACTCCTCACATGCTGACGACGGTTCATTGCTTAAAACACACAAGTTTTGAGTTCTGATTTCTGTTCTTGGCTTTGTCAGATAATCTTTGGGCAAATACTGAGTGCCTGTTACTTCTGAGTTTCTGTTAATTCACCTCTCAAGATAATGCATATTCTGCTTCCCATTTTACTTAAAAATATATAATGTCTTCATTAAATAATTATACGTTAGTAATAGGCAGAAGATGAAGACTAAAAATTCGCATCTAGGAGGAAGAAACACACAGGGTGGTAGGCATTCTGGCAGTGAGACCGCACGTGGAGGACACTGCATCATGTTGAGCAAGCCTGGAGCTCAGACCAAACCAGCCTTCGGACCAGCCGCTCACCACTGCCCAGTGTGGTGCGAGTGACTGATACACACCCATGGCTCCAGTTCTCTGTGCTCAAGTTCTTCATGTGTCCATCTGAAAGGTTTCCTCATTCATGATAGGGCTTCCAATTTTTGTGTTTAATTAGAAAGTAAACCTGTTCTTTGAAGAAAATGTAGAAAATACAGAGAAACACAAATCATGATCCAGTCACATGGTCAACATTTTGGTAGATAGATATCCAATCTTTTTTCAGTTCATATAGCTCTACAATTTTTTTTTCTTTTTAAATATCATCCCATGCTTACAGTTTTACAACTTACTTTACTCAGCTGCATATCACGGCTAACAATAAGCTACTGAACATTTTTCTATGGTATTGAGTATTTTCTAGTATGTGATTTCTAATGACTGAATAGCTTTCCAGACTCTGAATGTACCATAATTTATTTACTAAATTAGAGGACTTAGACAAAAATCCATAGTCAAGCAGCTAAAGCCATCCCCTTAAGGTTAGTCTAACCCCTAATAAATGTCCCCCAAGCTCTTAGACACACACAAACCCTCGAAGGAATGGTTTCTCGTGTGAAAGGGTTATAGTTGTCAATCATTTCTTGTTGATGTCGCGGTTTCCGTGCTATCCCCAGGTTGTTAGGGGGTGATTATGGATTCCTGTCAAATGAGATGTCTACTGTGTATTCAACATGCAGCAGTTTGTATTTTTCTCAGTCTGTTGCTCTCCCAGTGGAGGAGGTTAAGCAAATCTCAGGAAGCCAAAGGGAAATGGGATCAGCATCTAGAGCTGGAAGCACACAGCAGACATGCCCGAGGCCTGGACACCCGCACACAAGCAGATTAGACTTCTACATAAATACATTTGTCTTGATTGTCACATTCCACCCAGGGTTACACCTACATGAATAAAAATGGCTCCAAGCCTGTTTTTCAAAGCAGTTTGCCTTCCCTATTGCTTTATAACCACCCAGCTCAGAGGCATTTTTTTTGTGTTATATCTATCAAAGATGATTAAGGGGCTGAGAGAGTTGATATATAAGGACAGATTAAGAAAAGTAAATATTTACAACTTGACCGAGTGACAGCCAAGGGGAAGCTATTATAACTGTCTGCAGGGCTCAAAGCATGAAGGAGAGACATGGTTTTGTTTTTCCCAGTAACCCGATTGTAGGGATATCTAAATTCAGAAAAAGTTTTCTGAGGATTACATCATTTATGCTAATTAGATCATTGTGTCAGTGAGAAATTCCATTTAGCTGCTCTGCAGCAGCAACTTGGAATAGCAGTGGCTCAAACAAGTAGGGTTTCATTTTCCCTCCCATAACTCGAGGCCCAGGAGTGTGTTGTCAAGGGCCATGTTGCGGTTCCATAATGTCACCGGTGCACCTGTGCCTCCCTGTTTGGGGCTCCATTATTCTCAGTCAGCACTGTTCTCATACTCATGGCCCTGATGTTTGAAGAAGAGCTACTACACCTTCACTGGCCTTGGCTCCATTCCAGAAAGGGGGAAGGCAGAAGAGGTCTGTGCCAGCTAAGCCTGCTTGAAAGAGCTTTCTTGGAGGCCCTTTTACTGATTTAAGTTTATATGTCACTAACTGCCACATCTGCGAGAGGGGCTGGGAAATTGAGTGGGGTTTTTGTTTGGGTTTATTTTGTTTTTAAGTGGGTACATTGCTGACCCTAACAATACCACAGTCCTTTTACTCAGAAGACATGATATAATGGATACAGGGTAGGCAACTCGTAGTTTCTTTCACAGTAATTTGCCACCTGAAGATTCTGAGAAGTCTGGCCTCGGAAGCAAAGGACATTGCTACAAGGTTACAAGGTTCCATTTGGAAAACTAGCCCTTGAGATTCAGTTACTTCTGATCACTCATCTAGTTCAGTTTATTCATCATAGCGTACCCTGGGCTGATGCTAAATAAACCAGTCATCTCAACAGACCTAAGAATTATAACAACTACAACTTACTATGTTTCACCAAGTTCCACACACTGTGCTTGCACTTGACATCATCTGAATGGTTTGCTTCAAAATTCTCCCCAGAGGGATGGGGAATGGACAAAGGATAGATGATACAAATCTCACCCATGATTTGCTCATCATTGAAGGTGAACAATGGCACCATGGAGGTTTAATTATACTCCTCTCTCTACTTTTGTAGTTATTGAAATTTCCCAATAATGATTTAAAAAGTCACCTCATCTACCTCCTGCATTGTTCATATGAGGTCAGTACTATTCCCTCTAGCTAACAGTACTCAGGGAAATTAAGCAGCGTCACACAGGGAGTAAGTGGCAGATTCAGGATTCCGACCCAGGTTTGTCTGACTTTGAAGCCTGTGCTCTAACCCTGACCAGCTAAAGAAAGCATGCTTCCCAGCGAGTCGTCTGAAACTTGTTAGAAATGCAGACTTTCAGATCCCACCCCAAGCCCTTCTAGAAGTCCCCCACGTGTGGTTTGTGCGCGCTCAGGGTTCCTGTATGCGGTCTGTATTGCCTTCATAGCCATCACTTAGCCAACTCAGTCAATCAGCTATGACTTTTCCTTTAAAAATACAACTCTCTATTAGACAAGCAGTGACTCTATAGCATCTTACTACACTGATGGACAGTGACTGTAATGGGGTATGTGGGGGGGACTTGATAATAGGGGGGAATGTAGAAACCACAATGTTGCCCATATGAAACCTGAGCATAAGATTGTTTATCAATGATACCTTAGTAAATAAATAAATATTATATATATATATATATATATATATATA